TCGGAAAAACTGTAAACTGGATGAGTGACCATAATCTCGAAATAAATTTTACCAAAACCAAATTAATAGCGTTCCACCCCTGGCAGAAAAAACAAATAAATATAGATTTTACGTTTAATCAACATAAATTAGAAACAGTTAACAATTTCACACTCCTAGGTTTAACAATAGACACTCATATAAACTGGAAAACACATATACAGACAGTAAAATCAAAAATTTCAAAGTTTTCATATGCTCTCCGCGAAATAAAAAAGACTACAAACCTACAAACCGCACTAGCCACATACTACGCGTATGCTCATGCTTGGTTTAATTATGGCATCATCTTATGGGGAAATAGCACAGATGCTCCCTCCCTATTTACCCTCCAAAAAAAGCTAATACGAATAATTACCAATATAGAACCAACAGATAGCTGCAAGCCTCACTTTCAGAAACACAAGATTCTCACCTTAGTTGGTATTTATGTCTTGGAATTATGTAAACTCGTCCGTAAATATCCAGATTCTTACAGCACACGGGGAGACATACAAACAAATTATTCGTTGCGCCATAAAAAAAGACTAAATTTGCCCCCCTCCCGCCTTAAATTACATTCATCTAGTCCCTATTCAATGTCAATAAAAATATATAATAAACTACCTGAAGACATAAAACAGCAAGAAAAAACCAGTATATTTCTAAATAAACTAAAGCAATACTTAATTAAAAAAAGCTATTACACAGTACAAGAATATCTTACAGATAAATAAATATTAATAGGTAAAACACAATTATGAATAACAGATTATCTTAATAAGTAAAATGACATAAACAATACTTAATAATTAAATTACAAAATGACATAAAAAATACTCACTGATCAAAATGACATAATATACAATACTTAATAATTGAATTACATAATAATAAAATAATAATATATATTATAATTGTACATACTAAATAAGCGATACTAAATATAATTAAATAAATAATAAATGTACAGATAGACCTGCATATACATTATTAATAGAATAAGTAAATAAATGGAAACATATAAATACATAAAAATATTAATAGAAGTGAATGAATTAAAATATAAAAATATAGTTATTAGGGTGGAAAATTATATGTAGCTGTGTTAATGAAGCGCTCTTTCTCTCTTTTACATTTCTCTCTTTTACATTTTTTTTGTTTAAAACAAAAAATTGCTGTGCCCGACAGGGTCCGTAATTGTATCTAATATTTTTTTTTTTTTTTTACTACCACCTGTATTTGACATTATGGATTGCAATAAATTATTTGATTTGATTTGATTTGAACTTTATTGCAGTGTGTGCTTCGAAGACTCATGTTTTAAACGAACAAGTTACTATATGAACTTGAGTAGATCAAGCGTCGCTTCCGTCTGATACGGACGCAGCGTACTTATTGTTTTAGGTGTGGCCAGTCTAGTAATGAATTCTATGTGGAAAACTGATTGAGTATGAGTTAATAATCCATACATAGGATTATAGTTATCCTCGAATCTTCTTATAAGTACCTATATAATATTAGTTTTTAACCGATTTCTAGACACTCGACGGCCCCACAGTCGAACCTTTTGAAAATATTGAAGGGATTTGTTTGAGTGAGAAAAATCTTCAAACGACTTCTCTCGCCCAGCGTAGAGCGAGAGAGAGAGTATACACCAGGCTGTCTCGCTTGCTCCTCTAGTACGTGGGGCTCGGCTTGTAAAACACTATTCTCGGTGGTATAAAGACACACAAGTGAAGATGTCCGCCCCCTCAGCACTCACGGCGCCGAGAAGGAGTTCTCGTGCGGGCGCTGCGACAAGCGCTTCCTGTTCCGCGCCGCGCTGCGCGTGCACCTCGTCACGCACGACGCGCCCGCGCATCTATACTGCCACCTGGTGGGGACCATACCATTTATTTATGTTAATACAACTAATTATAATGTTAGTACACGTGTCATATTATTTCAGTGCGACTTCAGCTTCAAGAACCGGATGTCGTACACTCAGCACATCAAGTACAGCCTCAAGCACTGCGACCCCGCCGCGCTCAAGTCAGTCGCTTCTTCACTCGCTTCTTCAATCACTTGTGCACTCACTCTCTTACTCATCCACCCTCACTCACTCACTTATTCAATCAATCACTTTTACACTCATCCAACCACTGATCCACTCGTACTGCCCCTCATCTACTCACTTAATCACTCACCCACTCACCCAGACACTCATAAATTAAGCCACTCATCCACTCACTCATCCACTCATCCACTCACTCATCCACTCATCCGCTCACTCATCCACTCATCCACTCACTCATCCACTCACCCACTCACTCATCCACTCACCCACTCACTCATCCACTCATCCACTCAACCACTCACTCATCCACTCACTCATCCACTCACTCATCCACTCATCCACTCACCCACTCACTCATTCACTCATCCACTCATCCACTCACTCATCCTCTCATCCACTCATCCACTCATCCGTTCATCCACTCTCTCATCCATTCACTCATACACTCACCCACTCACTCATTCACTCATCCATTCATCCACTCACTCGAGCCGACCCATTCGGGTACATGAGATGTATGTAGTTCTGTCTCTCTCCCCCAAGGTACAAATGTCGCGAGTGCGACAAGCGCTTCCTGAAGGAGTCCCGACTGCGCGAGCATACACTGGCGGTACACCTCAAGGCGACGCCGCTCGCCTGCGACCAGCCAGGGTGCACCTTCGTCAGTATACTCCATACACCGGACGCGGGGCCAAGCTATACTAGTCGATACTACCCACATTCTGCTAGTCTCATTGTAATAGGTTACACTGGGCACTCACATTTAAAAATTAAATTACGATGGTGTATCATTTCTTAGTTAGAATCCCTCTTTACATGAACAGTTTTCGTTAATATTATCCTGTGGAGCACGATCAGTCTGTCTCCAAGCATTTTTATCCTCAATACAATCATTCAGCTTGTAATATGCTTGTCTACATAAAGTTTTCTTTATATGTACATAATTTGACACAGAAACCAACGAACGACTCGTGTACCTTTGCCAATCTAAATAATGGCTGATATAATCTTTATCTATGGCTAGTTTGATAATATCGTCTGTCTATCAGATACCTTAACAAATAATTTCAAGTTTCTCCTAACATACATAATGCTTTCTCAATCTTTTCTCAAAGAGAAACAAGACGACTTAGGTTGTAAATAGCTCTGATGGCACGCTTTTGCAAGACAAAGATAGACTCAATGCCAGCAGCCTGTCCCCACAACAAGATGCCATACGACATAATGCTATGAAAGTAGCTGAAGTACACCAGTCTTGAAGTGTCCACGTCTGTTAGCTGTGGGATCTTCCAGTTAACAAATGTTGCAGAGCTCAATTCTTCCTACCAGAAATGTAATAAGGGTTTCTTCATCTGTAGTAATACACTGAAAAGTAGTTTGTTTTACAAATTCCAATTTCTTACCGTTTAATTTTATCTCACATTCGTTACACACTCGTTCAGGCTCGTTCTTCTCCATTCGAATCTATACTTTGGAACGAGTACGCAGCTTCACTGACGAACAGACTGACAGACTATTTATTCTATTTTGACGATGTAAAAGCACCTATTAATGGTTTAGTTGGAATAAATGACTTTGAATTTGATATTTTTAGCATTTGGCAAACTGAATTGTATACGCTTAAAATGATTTACTGTAAGCCAATTATGTACTTTCGCAATAGCATTATTTACTTCGTCATGATTCTTTGTTGGTCTATTTATTTGAAAAGATAACGAGAATAATGTCAATCATGTTGGAATAAATTGGGTAAGTCATTTATGTAGACCAAAGAGAAGAATGGACCTAATATTGATCCCTGTGGTACTCCCATAGATAAACTGGCACGCTGAGAGTTCACTTTATGTACTTGTAATTTGTTGAGCTGTCTATCCAGGAGGTATGATTGTAATAAACTGAGATATGCCCTCTGAATCCAAATGTTCCAATTTCAGCGACAGTGCCTCGTGTTGAACGCAATCGAAAGCCTTCGACAGATGGCATAATATGAGAGTAAGATTGCAGTAAAGCTGGTGTCCCCCAGGCGTGCGCGTCGGGCGGAGCCCTGCGCGGGCACCGGCGCGCGGCGCACGGGCCGGCGCCGGCGCCGCGCCACGTGTGCCACGCCTGCGGGAGGACCTACAAGGTCAGTGAGCGGCGCCGGGCCTGGCGACCTCGTACCCCGCCACGCGACTCACGCCACCCTGCTGTTGCAGACCAAGAAGTCCCTGGAAGGCCACCTCCGCTCGCACTCGGGCGAGCGTCCGTTCGCGTGCACTACTTGCGGCGCCACCTTCGGGTACGAGGCCGCGCTCTACAACCACACGCGCCTCGTGCATCTCAAGCATAAGGTGACGCTTCTAGCTCGTACAGGAGATGCGGTCATTCCGGTATCCTATCGTGTGAAATAAAATAAATACTGTGTCCCCCAGTTGGGTCGCGGGCGCCCCCCTCCGTCGCAGGCGGCGCCATCTAGCGGCGATGCGGGACTACCTACAGCAGCAACAGACTCGTGACTCGTCCGTTGCGCGGGTGCGATGGTCCCTCGAGCCACTCAGTCAGTGGTCGCTGAGAGCGATGTACGCAATGATATAGTTTGTGTAATAAAATGAAATACAAGACTAAGTTTGTACGTTTTATTTCTGTTTGTGTGACACTACATGCAACCACCGCGACTCTAATAAATCAATAGACATATACACACATACACAACATTCTCCTTTTAACCCTTACTCAATCTCCAACCCGTCTGCCCTGCGTGGGGATTATGGTAAACTCCCCAGGGTAGACTGAAGGAAAACCTCGTCTTGTAATAACGCCGTATAAGTTTAAAATGGCCAATCCGCTTTGAGGGAGCGTCGTGATTAATGCTGAAACCTTCTCCGTGAGAGAAGAGCCTTTGCTCAGCAGTGTTCACTTATAGGCTGATGATGATGATAGCAGAATGGGAATAAATGCATCATTCGGGGCTGCAAGCACAATAGTGTACCTCAGCCTCGATCCCAAGCAGGAGAAGGAACGGGGAGGTTCTTAGTCAGTAAGAGTCTGACACTCTCTCTCACTCCATCCAGGGCGGGAGAAGCAATGAAAAACGTATAAACTTTATTGCAGTGTGTGCTTCGAAGACTCATGTTTTAAACGAACAAGTTACTATATGAACTTGAGTAGATCAAGCGTCGCTTCCGTCTGATACGGACGCAGCGTACTTATTGTTTTAGGTGTGGCCAGTCTAGTAATGAATTCTATGTGGAAAACTGATTGAGTATGAGTTAATAATCCATACATAGGATTATAGTTATCCTCGAATCTTCTTATAAGTACCTATATAATATTAGTTTTTAACCGATTTCTAGACACTCGACGGCCCCACAGTCGAACCTTTTGAAAATATTGAAGGGATTTGTTTGAGTGAGAAAAATCTTCAAACGACTTCTCTCGCCCAGCGTAGAGCGAGAGAGAGAGTATACACCAGGCTGTCTCGCTTGCTCCTCTAGTACGTGGGGCTCGGCTTGTAAAACACTATTCTCGGTGGTATAAAGACACACAAGTGAAGATGTCCGCCCCCTCAGCACTCACGGCGCCGAGAAGGAGTTCTCGTGCGGGCGCTGCGACAAGCGCTTCCTGTTCCGCGCCGCGCTGCGCGTGCACCTCGTCACGCACGACGCGCCCGCGCATCTATACTGCCACCTGGTGGGGACCATACCATTTATTTATGTTAATACAACTAATTATAATGTTAGTACACGTGTCATATTATTTCAGTGCGACTTCAGCTTCAAGAACCGGATGTCGTACACTCAGCACATCAAGTACAGCCTCAAGCACTGCGACCCCGCCGCGCTCAAGTCAGTCGCTTCTTCACTCGCTTCTTCAATCACTTTTGCACTCACTCTCTTACTCATCAACTCATCCACCCTCACTCACTCACTTATTCAATCAATCACTTTTACACTCATCCAACCACTGATTCACTCGTACTGCCCCTCATCTACTCACTTAATCACTCACCCACTTACCCAGACACTCATAAATTAATCCACTCATCCACCCACTCACGCACTCATCCACCCTCTCAACCACTCACTCATCCGCTCATCCACTCAACCACTCACTCTTCTACTCAACCACTCACTCATCCACTCAACCACTCACCCACTCACTCATCCACTCATCCACTCAACCACTTACTCATCCACGCATCTAATCACTCATCCACTCACCCACTCACTCATCCACTCATCCATTTATCCACTCAATCGAGCCGACCCATTCGGGTACATGAGATGTATGTAGTTCTGTCTCTCTCCCCCAAGGTACAAATGTCGCGAGTGCGACAAGCGCTTCCTGAAGGAGTCCCGACTGCGCGAGCATACACTGGCGGTACACCTCAAGGCGACGCCGCTCGCCTGCGACCAGCCAGGGTGCACCTTCGTCAGTATACTCCATGCACCGGACGCGGGGCCAAGCTATACTAGTCGATACTACCCACATTCTGCTAGTCTCATTGTAATAGGTTACACTGGGCACTCACATTTAAAAATTAAATTACGATGGTGTATCATTTCTTAGTTAGAATCCCTCTTTACATGAACAGTTTTCGTTAATATTATCCTGTGGAGCACGATCAGTCTGTCTCCAAGCATTTTTATCCTCAATACAATCATTCAGCTTGTAATATGCTTGTCTACATAAAGTTTTCTTGATACATAATTTAACACAGAATCCCAGGAAAGACTTGTGTACCTTTGCAAATCTAAATAATGGCTGACATAATCTTTATCTATGTCTAGTTTGATAATATTGTCTGTCTATCAAGTACCTTAACAAATAATTGGAAGTTTCACCTAACATACATAATGTTTTCATAACTAAATTGTTATAATGTTGATCCCTATAAACATTTCTCAAAGAGATTCTCGACGCTTTAGGTTGTAAATAGCTCTGATGGCACGCTTTTGCAAGACAAAGATAGACTCACACCCGGTTTCTGAAAGGCTTGTCAACACTGAAATTAACTAATCTCCTGTTAAATCTCTTGTCAAGTCATCTGATTGGTTGTTGATAATTCAGTCAACCAATCAGATGACTTGACAAGAGATTAAATTGATTTTAACATTGATCGGCCTTCCGGAAACCGGCCGTCAATGTCAGCAGCCTGTCCCTTCAACAAGATGCCATACGACATAATGCTATGAAAGTAGCTGAAGTACACCAGTCTTGCAGTGTCCACATCTGTTAGCTGTGAGATCTTCCAGTAAACAAATGCTGCAGAGCTCCATTCTTCCTACCAGATATGTAATAAGGTGTTTCTTCCAGATATGTAATAGTGTATTACTACAGATAGTAATACACTGAAAAGTAGTTTGTTTTACAAATTCCAATTTCTTGCTGTTTAATAATATCTCACATTCGTTACACGCTCGTTCAGGCTCGTGCTTCTCCATTCGAATCTATACTTTGGAACGAGTACGCAGCTTCACTGACGAACAGACTGACAGACTATTTATTCTATTTTGACGGTGTAAAAGCACCTATTAATGGTTTAGTTGGAATAAATGATTTTGAATTTGATATTTTTAGCTTTTAGCAAATCGAATCGTATACACTTTAAATGATTAACCGTAAGCCAATTATGAACCTTCGTAATAGCATTGTTTACTTCCTCATGATTCTTTGTTCGTCTATTTGTTTTAAAAGATAACTATTTTTCATTCTTCATTAACTAATATCATATGATCATGTTGGAATCAATGTGGTAAGTCATTTATGTAGACCAAAGAGAAGAATGGACCTAATATTGAGCCCTGTGGTACTCCCATAGATATGCTAACACGCTGGGAGTTCACTTTATGTACTTGTAATTTGTTGAGCTGTCTATCCAGGAGGTATGATTGTAATAAACTGAGATATGCCCTCTGAATACCAAACGTTCCAATTTCAGCGACAGTGCCTCGTGTTGAACGCAATCGAAAGCCTTCGACAGATGGCATAATATGAGAGTAAGATTGCAGTAAAGCTGGTGTCCCCCAGGCGTGCGCGTCGGGCGGAGCCCTGCGCGGGCACCGGCGCGCGGCGCACGGGCCGGCGCCGGCGCCGCGCCACGTGTGCCACGCCTGCGGGAGGACCTACAAGGTCAGTGAGCGGCGCCGGGCCTGGCGACCTCGTACCCCGCCACGCGACTCACGCCACCCTGCTGTTGCAGACCAAGAAGTCCCTGGAAGGCCACCTCCGCTCGCACTCGGGCGAGCGTCCGTTCGCGTGCACTACTTGCGGCGCCACCTTCGGGTACGAGGCCGCGCTCTACAACCACACGCGCCTCGTGCATCTCAAGCATAAGGTGACGCTTCTAGCTCGTACAGGAGATGCGGTCATTCGTGTCCTATCATGTGAAATAAAATAAATACTGTGTCCCCCCAGTTGGGTCGCGGGCGCCCCCCTCCGTCGCAGGCGGCGCCATCTAGTGGCGACGCGGGACTACCTACAGCAGCAACAGACTCGTGACTCGTCCGGTGCGCGGGTGCGATGGTCCCTCGAGCCACTCGGTCAGTGGTCGCTGAGAGCGATGTACGCAATGATATAGTTTGTGTAATAAAATGAAATACAAGACTTAAGTTTGTATGTTTTATTTCTGTTTGTGTAACACTACATGCAACCACTGCGACTCTAATATATCAATAGACATATAAACGCACACACACATACACACATTCTCCTTTTAACCCCTACTCAATCTCCAACCCGTCTGCCCTGCGTGGGGATTATGGTAAACTCCCCAGGGTCTGAATGGTTTAGACCTAGACTAAAGTTTAAAATCGCCAATCCGCTTTGAGGGAGCGTCGTGATTAATGCTGAAACTAACTAACTTCTCCGCGAGAGAAGAGGCCTTTGCTCAGCAGTGTTCACTTCTAGGCTGCTGATGATGATGATAGCAGAATGAAAATAAATGCATCATTCGGGGCTGCGAGGGCAAGCACAATAATGTGTTACCTCAGCCTCGATCCCAAGCAGGAGAAGGAACGGGGAGGTTCTTAGTCAGTAAGAGTCTGACACTCTCTCTCACTCCATCCAGGGCGGGAGAAGCAATGAAAAACGTATAAACTTTATTGCAGTGTGTGCTTCGAAGACTCATGTTTTAAACGAACAAGTTACTATATGAACTTGAGTAGATCAAGCGTCGCTTCCGTCTGATACGGACGCAGCGTACTTATTGTTTTAGGTGTGGCCAGTCTAGTAATGAATTCTATGTGGAAAACTGATTGAGTATGAGTTAATAATCCATACATAGGATTATAGTTATCCTCGAATCTTCTTATAAGTACCTATATAATATTAGTTTTTAACCGATTTCTAGACACTCGACGGCCCCACAGTCGAACCTTTTGAAAATATTGAAGGGATTTGTTTGAGTGAGAAAAATCTTCAAACGACTTCTCTCGCCCAGCGTAGAGCGAGAGAGAGAGTATACACCAGGCTGTCTCGCTTGCTCCTCTAGTACGTGGGGCTCGGCTTGTAAAACACTATTCTCGGTGGTATAAAGACACACAAGTGAAGATGTCCGCCCCCTCAGCACTCACGGCGCCGAGAAGGAGTTCTCGTGCGGGCGCTGCGACAAGCGCTTCCTGTTCCGCGCCGCGCTGCGCGTGCACCTCGTCACGCACGACGCGCCCGCGCATCTATACTGCCACCTGGTGGGGACCATACCATTTATTTATGTTAATACAACTAATTATAATGTTAGTACACGTGTCATATTATTTCAGTGCGACTTCAGCTTCAAGAACCGGATGTCGTACACTCAGCACATCAAGTACAGCCTCAAGCACTGCGACCCCGCCGCGCTCAAGTCAGTCGCTTCTTCACTCGCTTCTTCAATCACTTGTGCACTCACTCTCTTACTCATCCACCCTCACTCACTCACTTATTCAATCAATCACTTTTACACTCATCCAACCACTGATCCACTCGTACTGCCCCTCATCTACTCACTTAATCACTCACCCACTCACCCAGACACTCATAAATTAAGCCACTCATCCACTCACTCATCCACTCATCCACTCACTCATCCACTCATCCGCTCACTCATCCACTCATCCACTCACTCATCCACTCACCCACTCACTCATCCACTCACCCACTCACTCATCCACTCATCCACTCAACCACTCACTCATCCACTCACTCATCCACTCACTCATCCACTCATCCACTCACCCACTCACTCATTCACTCATCCACTCATCCACTCACTCATCCTCTCATCCACTCATCCACTCATCCGTTCATCCACTCTCTCATCCATTCACTCATACACTCACCCACTCACTCATTCACTCATCCATTCATCCACTCACTCGAGCCGACCCATTCGGGTACATGAGATGTATGTAGTTCTGTCTCTCTCCCCCAAGGTACAAATGTCGCGAGTGCGACAAGCGCTTCCTGAAGGAGTCCCGACTGCGCGAGCATACACTGGCGGTACACCTCAAGGCGACGCCGCTCGCCTGCGACCAGCCAGGGTGCACCTTCGTCAGTATACTCCATACACCGGACGCGGGGCCAAGCTATACTAGTCGATACTACCCACATTCTGCTAGTCTCATTGTAATAGGTTACACTGGGCACTCACATTTAAAAATTAAATTACGATGGTGTATCATTTCTTAGTTAGAATCCCTCTTTACATGAACAGTTTTCGTTAATATTATCCTGTGGAGCACGATCAGTCTGTCTCCAAGCATTTTTATCCTCAATACAATCATTCAGCTTGTAATATGCTTGTCTACATAAAGTTTTCTTTATATGTACATAATTTGACACAGAAACCAACGAACGACTCGTGTACCTTTGCCAATCTAAATAATGGCTGATATAATCTTTATCTATGGCTAGTTTGATAATATCGTCTGTCTATCAGATACCTTAACAAATAATTTCAAGTTTCTCCTAACATACATAATGCTTTCTCAATCTTTTCTCAAAGAGAAACAAGACGACTTAGGTTGTAAATAGCTCTGATGGCACGCTTTTGCAAGACAAAGATAGACTCAATGCCAGCAGCCTGTCCCCACAACAAGATGCCATACGACATAATGCTATGAAAGTAGCTGAAGTACACCAGTCTTGAAGTGTCCACGTCTGTTAGCTGTGGGATCTTCCAGTTAACAAATGTTGCAGAGCTCAATTCTTCCTACCAGAAATGTAATAAGGGTTTCTTCATCTGTAGTAATACACTGAAAAGTAGTTTGTTTTACAAATTCCAATTTCTTACCGTTTAATTTTATCTCACATTCGTTACACACTCGTTCAGGCTCGTTCTTCTCCATTCGAATCTATACTTTGGAACGAGTACGCAGCTTCACTGACGAACAGACTGACAGACTATTTATTCTATTTTGACGATGTAAAAGCACCTATTAATGGTTTAGTTGGAATAAATGACTTTGAATTTGATATTTTTAGCATTTGGCAAACTGAATTGTATACGCTTAAAATGATTTACTGTAAGCCAATTATGTACTTTCGCAATAGCATTATTTACTTCGTCATGATTCTTTGTTGGTCTATTTATTTGAAAAGATAACGAGAATAATGTCAATCATGTTGGAATAAATTGGGTAAGTCATTTATGTAGACCAAAGAGAAGAATGGACCTAATATTGATCCCTGTGGTACTCCCATAGATAAACTGGCACGCTGAGAGTTCACTTTATGTACTTGTAATTTGTTGAGCTGTCTATCCAGGAGGTATGATTGTAATAAACTGAGATATGCCCTCTGAATCCAAATGTTCCAATTTCAGCGACAGTGCCTCGTGTTGAACGCAATCGAAAGCCTTCGACAGATGGCATAATATGAGAGTAAGATTGCAGTAAAGCTGGTGTCCCCCAGGCGTGCGCGTCGGGCGGAGCCCTGCGCGGGCACCGGCGCGCGGCGCACGGGCCGGCGCCGGCGCCGCGCCACGTGTGCCACGCCTGCGGGAGGACCTACAAGGTCAGTGAGCGGCGCCGGGCCTGGCGACCTCGTACCCCGCCACGCGACTCACGCCACCCTGCTGTTGCAGACCAAGAAGTCCCTGGAAGGCCACCTCCGCTCGCACTCGGGCGAGCGTCCGTTCGCGTGCACTACTTGCGGCGCCACCTTCGGGTACGAGGCCGCGCTCTACAACCACACGCGCCTCGTGCATCTCAAGCATAAGGTGACGCTTCTAGCTCGTACAGGAGATGCGGTCATTCCGGTATCCTATCGTGTGAAATAAAATAAATACTGTGTCCCCCAGTTGGGTCGCGGGCGCCCCCCTCCGTCGCAGGCGGCGCCATCTAGCGGCGATGCGGGACTACCTACAGCAGCAACAGACTCGTGACTCGTCCGTTGCGCGGGTGCGATGGTCCCTCGAGCCACTCAGTCAGTGGTCGCTGAGAGCGATGTACGCAATGATATAGTTTGTGTAATAAAATGAAATACAAGACTAAGTTTGTACGTTTTATTTCTGTTTGTGTGACACTACATGCAACCACCGCGACTCTAATAAATCAATAGACATATACACACATACACAACATTCTCCTTTTAACCCTTACTCAATCTCCAACCCGTCTGCCCTGCGTGGGGATTATGGTAAACTCCCCAGGGTAGACTGAAGGAAAACCTCGTCTTGTAATAACGCCGTATAAGTTTAAAATGGCCAATCCGCTTTGAGGGAGCGTCGTGATTAATGCTGAAACCTTCTCCGTGAGAGAAGAGCCTTTGCTCAGCAGTGTTCACTTATAGGCTGATGATGATGATAGCAGAATGGGAATAAATGCATCATTCGGGGCTGCAAGCACAATAGTGTACCTCAGCCTCGATCCCAAGCAGGAGAAGGAACGGGGAGGTTCTTAGTCAGTAAGAGTCTGACACTCTCTCTCACTCCATCCAGGGCGGGAGAAGCAATGAAAAACGTATAAACTTTATTGCAGTGTGTGCTTCGAAGACTCATGTTTTAAACGAACAAGTTACTATATGAACTTGAGTAGATCAAGCGTCGCTTCCGTCTGATACGGACGCAGCGTACTTATTGTTTTAGGTGTGGCCAGTCTAGTAATGAATTCTATGTGGAAAACTGATTGAGTATGAGTTAATAATCCATACATAGGATTATAGTTATCCTCGAATCTTCTTATAAGTACCTATATAATATTAGTTTTTAACCGATTTCTAGACACTCGACGGCCCCACAGTCGAACCTTTTGAAAATATTGAAGGGATTTGTTTGAGTGAGAAAAATCTTCAAACGACTTCTCTCGCCCAGCGTAGAGCGAGAGAGAGAGTATACACCAGGCTGTCTCGCTTGCTCCTCTAGTACGTGGGGCTCGGCTTGTAAAACACTATTCTCGGTGGTATAAAGACACACAAGTGAAGATGTCCGCCCCCTCAGCACTCACGGCGCCGAGAAGGAGTTCTCGTGCGGGCGCTGCGACAAGCGCTTCCTGTTCCGCGCCGCGCTGCGCGTGCACCTCGTCACGCACGACGCGCCCGCGCATCTATACTGCCACCTGGTGGGGACCATACCATTTATTTATGTTAATACAACTAATTATAATGTTAGTACACGTGTCATATTATTTCAGTGCGACTTCAGCTTCAAGAACCGGATGTCGTACACTCAGCACATCAAGTACAGCCTCAAGCACTGCGACCCCGCCGCGCTCAAGTCAGTCGCTTCTTCACTCGCTTCTTCAATCACTTTTGCACTCACTCACCCACTCATCAACTCATCCACCCTCACTCACTCACTTATTCAATCAATCACTTTTACACTCATCTAACCACTGATTCACTCGTACTGCCCCTCATCTACTCACTTAATCACTCACCCACTTACCCAGACACTCATAAATTAATCCACTCATCCACCCACTCACCCACTCATCCACCCATTCATCCATCAACTCATCCACCCACTCATCCACTCACTCATCCTCTCATCCACTCATCCACTCACTCAACCACTTACCCACTCACTCATTCACTCACCCACTCACCCACCCACTCATCCACTCAACCACTTACCCACTCATTCATCCACTCATCCATTTATCCACTCACTCGAGCCGACCCATTCGGGTACATGAGATGTATGTAGTTCTGTCTCTCTCCCCCAAGGTACAAATGTCGCGAGTGCGACAAGCGCTTCCTGAAGGAGTCCCGACTGCGCGAGCATACACTGGCGGTACACCTCAAGGCGACGCCGCTCGCCTGCGACCAGCCAGGGTGCACCTTCGTCAGTATACTCCATGCACCGGACGCGGGGCCAAGCTATACTAGTCGATACTACCCACATTCTGCTAGTCTCATTGTAATAGGTTACACAGGGCACTCGCATTTACAAATTAAATTACGATATATAGTTAAAATCCCTCTTTACAAGAACAGTATTCGTAAATATTATCCTGTGGAGCACGATCAGTCTGTCTCCAAGCATTTTTATCCTCAATACAATCATTCAGCTCGTAATATGCTCGTCTACATAAAGTTTTCTTTATACATAATTTAACACAGAATCCCAGGAACGACTTGTGTACCTTTGCCAATCTGAATAATGGCTGACATAATCTTTATCTATGGCTAGTTTGATAATATTGTCTGTCTATCAAGTACTTTAACAAACAATTGGAAGTTTCTCCTAACATACATAATGTTTTCATAAGTAAATTGTCATAATATTGATCTCTATAAACTTTTATCAAAGAGATTCTCGACGCTTTAGGTTGTAAATAGCTCTGATGGCACGCTTTTGCAAGACAAAGATAGACTCAATGTCAGCAGCCTGTCCCTACAACAAGATGCCATACGACATAATGCTATGAAAGTAGCTGAAGTACACCAGTCTTGCAGTGTCCACATCTGTTAGCTGTGGGATCTTCCAGTTAACAAATGCTGCAGAGCTCAATTCTTCCTACCAGAGATGTAATAAGGGTTTCTTCATCTGTAGTAATACACTGAAAAGTAGTTTGTTTTACAAATTCCAATTTCTTACCGTTTTATAATATCTCACATTCGTTACACGCTCATTCGGGCTTGTGCTTCTCCATTCGAATCTATACTTTGGAACGAGCACGTAGCTTCACTGATGAACAGACTGACAGACTATTTGTTCTATTTTGACGGTGTAAAAGCGCCTATTAATGGTTTAGTCTATTTATTTGAAAAGATAACGAGAATAATGTCAATCATGTTGGAATAAATGCGGTAAGTCATTTATGTAGACCAAAGAAAAGAATGGACCTATTATTGAGCCCTGTGGTACTCCCATAGATATGCTTACACGCTGAGAGTTCACTTTATGTACTTGTAATTTGTTAAACTGTCTATCCAGGAGGTATGATTGTAATAAACTGAAAGATGCTCCCTGAATACCAAATGTTCCAATTTCAGCGACAGTGCCTCGTGTTGAACGCAATCGAAAGCCTTCGACAGATGGCATAATATGAGAGTAAGATTGCAGTAAAGCTGGTGTCCCCCAGGCGTGCGCGTCGGGCGGAGCCCTGCGCGGGCACCGGCGCGCGGCGCACGGGCCGGCGCCGGCGCCGCGCCACGTGTGCCACGCCTGCGGGAGGACCTACAAGGTCAGTGAGCGGCGCCGGGCCTGGCGACCTCGTACCCCGCCACGCGACTCACGCCACCCTGCTGTTGCAGACCAAGAAGTCCCTGGAAGGCCACCTCCGCTCGCACTCGGGCGAGCGTCCGTTCGCGTGCACTACTTGCGGCGCCACCTTCGGGTACGAGGCCGCGCTCTACAACCACACGCGCCTCGTGCATCTCAAGCATAAGGTGACGCTTCTAGCTCGTACAGGAGATGCGGTCATTCCGGTATCCTATCGTGTGAAATAAAATAAATACTGTGTCCCCCAGTTGGGTCGCGGGCGCCCCCCTCCGTCGCAGGCGGCGCCATCTAGCGGCGATGCGGGACTACCTACAGCAGCAACAGACTCGTGACTCGTCCGTTGCGCGGGTGCGATGGTCCCTCGAGCCACTCAGTCAGTGGTCGCTGAGAGCGATGTACGCAATGATATAGTTTGTGTAATAAAATGAAATACAAGACTAAGTTTGTACGTTTTATTTCTGTTTGTGTGACACTACATGCAACCACCGCGACTCTAATAAATTAATACACATGCACACACACACGCATACACTGTACACACATTCTAACTATAATCTCAACTAGAGATAAGTCGTTCAAACTGTGATCTCCAACCCATGAGGTAAACCCCCCCTGGGTCAAACAGTGGAGACCAGAGTGACTGAGGTGAGTACAGACTATACAAGTTACATATAAATAATTAGTACTAATGTAAGAACATTGGATAAATATACACAGTAACGCCATCTATGTCGTTACACCGTAGAGTCTATGACACAGTTTGCGCCGGTACGAGCGCTGGGCGCTAGATGTCGCCGGCGGACTAGAGTGCGGGGCGCTCGCTGGCCCCGAAGTACAGCGCCACCTCGTCGGACGCGGGGGGCGCAGTCGCCGGGGCTACGGCCGCGCTGGGGGCGGAGCCCGCCGCCTTCAGGTCGCAGTCGCTGACCGAGTGCTGCTGGGTCCCCGCCGCCTGCTGGTCCTGCGACCGGTCCACGGGTTCGTATCCCTGCGGGAGCACGATGCCGTCGGGGAACGACTCGCTGCGAGTGTTCGAGTTGAACGTCTGCCCCGCCGTCTCCACGGGCAGACTCTGCTGGCGGGACAACTGCGGGGGTTGTTGCTGCTGTTGTTGTTGTTGCAGTTGTTGCTGTTGTTGTAGTTGTTGCAGTTGTTGCTGGTGCTGTTGCTGCTGTTGTTGTTGTTGTTGTTGTTGTTGTTGCAGTTGTTGTTGCTGTGTGCCGGGCTGGTCGATGGCCTGCAGGATGCTCTGCAGCAGTCCGTCGGACAGTAGCTGTTCGTGTGGCGCGGCCGACTTCCCGCCGTGGGAGGGCTGGATCTGCACGGAGTAGGTGGCGCCCGGCGCTGGCTGCGACCCTCCGCCCAGCGAGTGCCCGGAGGACACGATCTTGTGTTGCAGTTCCTGCGCCTGCTGGTTCAGGAGGCGGATCCTGTCCTCCGTCTCCTGTATCTGCTTGCTAACTTGCTCCAGTTGCTCGGCGCGCACGGTGTGCTTCTCCTTCAAGGACTTGGCCTTGTGCACGGTGTAGAGGTCCTTGTTCTCCCTCTTGGTGTGTCCCTCGCTGAGGGAGGAGCCGAGGCTGTTGAGGCTGTTGACGTACTTGGCGGCCAGGTCCTGCGGGATGGCGGTGCCGGCCTGCGCGGCCTTCAGGATGGCCTCGTGGTAGGGGCAGTGCTTGAGGATGGCGGCGGCGTCCAGCCCGGACAGCGCGGTCAAGTTGGCCAGCAGCGCGGCGTCGGGGCTGGTGGCCACGGGGGCGTTGGACGAGGCCGACGTCGCGTGGTCCCCGCCGCCCACTGTCAGCAGGGGGGCGGAGTACGAGTCCACGGGTGAGCCGTACAAGCCGTTGGGTGCCTGGAAGGCGAGCGGACTGCCCGCGTGGGGCAGGCTGAACATACTGCTGGGCTCGATGGACAGCGACACGCTGTGGCCAGCGGTGGCTGTTTGGGCGTGGACGTCCTTGACGTCGCGGATGGGCGGCGGCAAGTAGGCGGGCCCGGCGGCCGCGTGGTCCGTGCCGAGCGCGTCCTTGTGGTGCGTGGTCTGTGCGATGTGTTGGAAGAGTCCGCGCGGGACGGCGGCGCGGAAGGCGACGGGTTGGCGAGGGGGGGGGCCGCCCGAGTGCCCGCCGCCTGAATGCTGGCCGTACCCCAGCGGCAGGCCGGGCGGGGCGCCGTACTGCGGGGCCGGGGCCGGGGCCGGGGCCGGGGCGGGGCCGGCCGCGCTGTCGGTGTAGTGTGCCTCGAACACAGTGTGTGCGGGGGCGATGTGGTTGTTGTCCCCGGCGAGCAGGCCGCGCAAGTCGAGGCCGGCCAGCAGGCCGCCGTGCTGCACGCTGGAGTACCCGCCCGATATGTCGGCGCCCGGCCCCCGCGGGGGGGAGAACTCATGCACGTCCACTCCCGGCAAGTTCTGCTCCAAGTTGATGTGCAAGTCTTCTACTGGAGGAGGTCCGTACTGCTGGGCGGCGTGTCCCGCGGGCCCTCCGGGCAGCGACACTCCCGGGATGGGCTTCCATCCGTCGTACAACACGTGCGGTGGTGTAGGGGGAGCGGGCACGCCGGGGTGAGGAGGTCGCGGGTTCGGGTCCGGCTGGGGCGGACCGTAGTGACCTGAACTACCGATGTTCTGTAGCAACAGCTGGTCGTTGGGACCCGCGGGACCCAGCGGCAGGCCGGGGGGACCGTATGTATCAGTCGGGAGAGGGAAATTGGGTTTCAGGTCTACCGGGAGAGAGAGTAGCGGAGTTCCGTAAATAGGAGCAGGGAGATTCAGACCAAGGTCAAGATTGTTGTTGTTTATGAAACCCAGGTCGAGGTTGTTGTTATTGATAGGAGGGAAGGACACCTGTGGCAACTCAGGGAGAGGGAGGGCGGGGACAGTATCGCGGGGTGGAGGGGGTCCATACACCGGTTTAGGAGGCCCGTACACTGGCTTCGGAGGTCCGTACACTGGTTTGGGCGCAGAGAACAATGGCTTGTTTAATGTTATTTTCGGCGGCTTGAAGGGCACTCCATACGAAGGCTTGGGCAGGCTTAACTTCGGAGGCCCGTAAGTCTTCTTGGGTGAACTGAACTTCGGAGGTCCGTAGACAGGCTTTGGAGGTCCATACACAGGTTTCGGAGGCCCATATACAGGTTTCGGAGGCCCGTAGATTGGTTTCGGCCTGTTTTGCACTGGTGGGGGAGGTCCGTGGTACACTTGGCTGGGGAACGAGACGGGGGCTGGAGGTCCGTAGGTGCCGGCGGGCTGGCCCTGGGGGGCGGGGGGCGGGGGGAACACCACCACGTCGGGCACTCCGTACACTGGCGCGGGGGCGCCCTGCTGGAGCTCTGGAGCTGCGGACAGACAACGGATTTGATTTGATATTAACATAGTTGTGACTCGTTAAGACGCCTGCATCTAATACATCAGGGTTTATGTTGAAACTAGCTTCCGCCAGCGGCATCACCCGCGTCATATCTTGCTTAAAAGTAAATTATGTCCTATTCCGGAGTGTATCATATGCCTGTGCCATATTCCATCGAAATCCGTCCAGCCGTTTTGGCGTGATGGAGTAACAAAAATCCATACATCAGCACAATCTCCAACAGTCAAGTCAGCACATCTAATTAGAAAAGCGTTTTTACCCTATTCCTTCCCAATCTCTAAATATCCGAAACCCTTATCCCCAAAGGCCGATAACGCACTCGTGACTCCTTTGGAATCCATGGGCGGAGCTGATTGCTTACCATCAGGTAACCGCATGATCGTTTGCCGACCTACTACATAAAAAAAAAAATTCGTGTTAATTTGTATTGTGTTAATGTCTTATCTATCTATCAGTCAGTTTTTTGCCGACATATTACATGTATAATGATTACAAGGAAGTATAATCTCACCGGTGTCAGGTATATGTAGCGGTGGGCCGTACGCGTCGGCCGGCAGCGGCTCCCCGTACGAGTTAGACAGTACCGCCTCGCGCTTCTGGGCCGGACCTGCGGACGGACAGACGGACGCTGTAGCAGTTTTTTTTTGGGTCTACTCATAGTCTTCACAAAAGACTGGCGTGGAATAATCACAGCGGCGTGTTTTGAAAGCCCAATCCTTCCCCTTTTCTCCAAAAAGACGGCAACTTAGTCGTATTTTCTTTGGTGTTGTGGGTCTCCATGGGCGACGCTGATTGCTTACCATCAGGTAAACAGCGAGTGTTCGACAAGGTAACCCAAAGTGGCCTGAAGAAGCCACCCAGAGGTACCGGAAGAGTTTTCTTTTCTGCCTGAGCGTTCGAGTTCCAAGGAATCCTATAGATGGGAGATTTAAAGACAGAAGCGAGAGTAGTCAGACTCTTACTGACTAAAAACCTCCCCGTTCCTTCTCCTGCTCTGGGCCGAGGTCGCGGTGCCTCATTGCGCTTACCCCGCAACCCCGGCTATTGGAGCTGATGCTATGGTAGTATGTCCTTACATACCTGTTTGCGTGGCCTCGGCGACGAGGTCAGTGTCGGAGTCTGTCTGCACGAGTCCGTCGGCTGCGGGCGCCTGCTCCGCGGCGGAGGCGCAGCGTACTGTCGCCAGGCACACCAGCAGTGCTAGCACCTGGAACAGTGTGGATACTGCGTTAGTCTCGATCAGTGGAAGCTCGCTTAGAATATTCGGTTCTGCCAATTCTGTTTCAAATATCTGTCCGATGCGCAAATATAACAATGGGAAAGTTTTTTTTAAATACGTTGCCCTACATTAGGGTTTTCTCTTGTGTAGTGGGTGCGTTTACAAACATACACATTGCGCACACACATGACACCCAGACCCGGAACAACAATTTGTGGATCACACAAAGAGTTGTTTCATGCGGGAATTGAACCCGCGACACGTTGCACGGGAGCCAGTTGCTCATCCACCTCACCAATCGTGCAGACAATGATGATGATTTTTAAAAAGAGTAACGATGGAGTTTCTTGCTCGTTCTTTTCCATTCGAATCGATAGTTTTGAACGAACACCTAGCTTCACTGACTTTTATTTTGACGTTTGTAATGAATTTTGACTTTGATGTAACAAAAATGAATGTGGTGGCTGAACCACCGGCTATCACACAACGTCGCGCAAGTTCGCTTCCCACACGAAACAACTTTTTGTCTGATTTACGAATTGTAGTTCCGGATTTTAGTATAATGTCTTGTGTACTTATGTGAAATTGTATATTTGTAAACGCACCCACGACACAGGAGAAAATTCTAGTGTAAATGTGTTTGTGTGATCCACAAATTGTTGTTCCGTGTCTGGGTGTGATGTGTGTGTACAATGTGTATGTTTGTAAACGCACCCACGACACAGGAAAAAGACAAGTGTGGTGTTACGTTTAATCTATACTAATATTATAAAGAGGTAAAATATGTAAGTTTGTATGTAGGGGGTAATCTTTGGAACCGCTGGTCGGATTGCCAAAATTCTTTCACTGATAGATAGCTACAATGTTCCTGAGTGCTATAGGCTATAAAACATCACGCTACGATTAAATGGAGCTGAGCAGAGGGTAAAAACGCGCGAGAATAGCTAGCTAGTTTATTTATTTATTTAAAAAAGGTACACCAACAGCTTCTGTATATAGCAAATTAAATAAAACAATGAAACATTAGGTTTTGGCCTTATACAGTCGCCAATTACAGGTAACCAGCATTCTTAAAAATAAAGTGATAACCTAGTAGTGTAAGTAGTTTAAAAAAAAGAGGTATTAAGATTAGATTCTATAGGTAGCCAGTTCCTGCCAGTGTAACCAAAACCGCATGTCTAATAACAAAATCAAACAATGATTAAAGAAACTGTGGATACTTTATTATGAAATATTGTGTTTACTTTACATCCAGCGGGTAACCGCAGCGCGAGCTTTCATTCATATAACACTTTTACTTTCCTCGGCTGACGACCGCTTCACACTGCGTCGCAGGCACACTGATTAATCAGACGTATTAACGTGTGGGAGAGCCAAGCTTCGGCACGAATGGCTCGGCTCGATCGGAGTGATACAGAAAACCGGCGTGAAGTACCTAACCACAATGTTGTGTTTCGCCATGTGAGTGAGGTTACCGGAGGCCCAATCCCTTCCAATCCCCAAATCTCCAAATCCCTAATCCCTAAATGGTCGGCAACGCACTCGTAACTCCTCCGTTGCGAGTGTCAATGGGCGGCGCTGATTGCTTACCATCAGGTAATCCGTCAGCTCGTTTGCCGACCTATTACATAAAAAAAAAAAAAAAAATAAGGCGTTCGTTTAGCCGCATTGTACTACTACTTAAATTTTACAAGCAAGTACCTATTATTGATCACGACATATTGACGTGCCTAACTTATCCAAGTAGGGGTGCCCCTAAAAAGTATTTTTTACATATTCTCTTGTAATAAGCAATGTTATGTACAGCTACCGTCTTCGGCTTAGAAAGCGTGGTGTGCGGAACCATACAGGGTTGATGGTGGATTATTTTCAGGAAAAATACTCGAACACGGTTTTAATCTATAATATAAAAATGAATCGCAAAATGTGTTGGTAAGCGCATAACTCAAAAACGCCTGGACCAATTTTGCTAATTAATATTTTTGTTATGTTCGTTATTATAAGGAGAAGGTTCCTACGAGAGATAACTTTAGAAAAGGAAAGGGGAATAGCGGTAATTTACAACACTTTCGACGCCGTGGCCGTTCGCTTGCAAAACACCAGGATAGTCGGGTACCCAAGCGAAGCAGGGGCGGTCTGCTAGTTAATTAATAACTTTCATTGGTGTTAACTACACGACTTAAGTACATATAGCAAGTGGGGTCAATTTCAAAATTCTTCATAAATTATAATCTTTATAACAAACGCAAGTTGATGGTATGAATATATCACCAGGCAATGTATCCCGTTTAAAGCTATAGCTCCGACTAAAATACGCGAATGAAATGTAATTTATTAGCCTATAGCACTCAGGAACATTGTAGCTATCTATCATTGAAAGTGTTTAGGAAATCCGACCAGCGGTTCCAGAGATTACCCCCTACATACAAACTTACAAACTTTACCTCTTTATAATATTTTTTTAATCTCCGACGCAAAAAGAGGGTTTTTATAAGTTTGACGTTTCTGTCTGTCTGTCTGTCTGTGGCATCCTGGAGCCTGAACGGGTGAAGCGATATCAATTTAGTTTTTTTGTATTAAGGGTGACTTACGGTTACTTACTTACTTAGACATGTTTGACGAAAATCGGTTAAGCCGTTTAGAAGTTATGGGGGGTAAGTGGGGAAGGGTAACCGAAGGTCAGCAGATATACTCGAGTGGGGTGTCAAATGAAAGTGCACTGAAAGGGAATTTTGATGATCTAGAGAAAATGATATAAAATACCTATATGTATTTAATTATTACTTTTTAAAGGTAGGTATATTAGATTTTTTTGTCGGGGGTTTTTTAAATTTTAAATTTATAATTTTCATTTATTACTTAGAACCTCCCATATTTGGTGACTAGTGACGACCTACTTTTGGTGTTTGAATGCAATACGACTAGCCGTGTTCAATGACGTAGGTATGCATGGCACCATTTCATTCAGTCGCATTAAATCCGGCCAACAGTTGAACAGCCATAATGTAATTCGGCGTAATATACAATGTGACCGCGACATGTACCTACACGGCGGAGAACGAACCAGCGCGCTCGCATTGTGCGCGTCATCCATTAGAAAGTATTTTTGTACATCTCTCACACATTTACGGACAGGTTGGCGCATTGACCTCTCCACTAGTGCTAATTGCTCACTTTGTGACAGAATGTCCATTTTTATTTCTCGGGTATATGTAGGTATATCTGAAAGTATGAATGGGTCTTTTAGACCGGAGTCATACCAAGGCCTCACAGAAAACCGTCGTGAAACAACCACAGCGTTGTGTTTCGCCGTGTCAGTGAGGTTACCGGCGGAGGCCAATTCCTTAAATCTCCAAATCCCTACTACTATATTGAATTACTACGACTATACAGACTATATAGAAGAAAGATTTGGCCTCCGCTCCCCAATTCCTATATCTCCGAAACCCTTATCCCCAAAAAGGCGGCAAGACTCGTAATTTCTCCGGTGTGCAGGTATGTGGCCGGCATCGATTGCTTGCCATCAGGTAATCAGTATGGTCGTTTGTTTGTTTGTTTTCGAAACACAATGCTGTGGTTGTTTCACGCTGGTTTTCTATGAGACTCCGGTCGAGCCGACCCATTCGTGCTGAAGCATGGCTCTCCTGTGGCCTCACAGAATACCGGCGTGAAACAACCCACAGACGTTGTGTTTCGCCATCTGAGTGAGGTTACCGGAGGCCCCATCTCTCCCCTTCCCTTATCCCTTCCCGATACTTATATCCGCAACCCCTATCCCCAAAAGGTCGGCAACGCACTCCTTTGGTGTTGCGGGTGTCCATGGGCGGCGCCGATTGCTTACCATCAGGTAATCCGTCAGCTCGTTTGCCGACTTATACCATAAAAAAAACCATAATCTTAGATGTACAAGTCAATTAGTTCTTGCTATGCTTCCGTTCCGGCTTCACTCGCCACTTCCCCCATTATCTAGTTCCCACGCATTGTGGCGCATGCCGTAATCACTAACAATGGATATTGGAAAAACTATGTGGAACTGTTCAGTGTTTCACTGCCGGCACATGGATCTGGGAAGTGATCGATACAACTTCATATTATAATCACAGGCCAGCTTTTGCTGTGGGAACCTTCTAAATACAATATACACTGTCGATTATTCAGATAGCCTGTTTACTTCATAAAGGGAAATGGATGGTCTATTTTACCGTGGTTTCCCGGAGATTAAGTCGCTCGCGTCTCATGTATGAGACTCATTAATACTTATATTAGAATATTCTATACATAATGTAGGTATCTATACTAATATTATAAAGAGGTAAAATTTGTAAGTTTGTATGTAGGGGGTAATCTTTAGAACCGCTGGTCGGATTGGCAAAATCCTTTCACTGATAGATAGCTACAACTTTCCTGAGTGCCATAGGCTATAAAACATCACGCTATGGTTAAAAGGAGACGAGCAGCGGGTGAATCTGCGTGAGAGTAGCTAGTTTACAGTTACAACAAAAAAGTTGTGGTTTCCCTCCCCCTCCCCTATCCCTTCCCGATCCTTATATCCCCAACCCCTATCCCCAAAAGGCTGGCAACGCACTCGTAACTCTTTGGTGTTGCGGGTGTCCATGGGCGGCGCCGATTGCTTACCATCAGGTAATCCGTCTGCTCGTTTGCCGACTTATACCATAAAAAAAAAATACTAATGTTGGACAAAATTTTTCTAATTTGATGAAACTTTCTTCGTTGGGAACAGAGTCGGCGGTGCCAGCGTGCTGTGTTTAAGGTGTGGAGTTGAATACTCACCGCTCTCCGGCGCGATATCTGTAACAATACAAGGTGACAAGTCAGTATTACAACTTATTTTCACAATACAGAGGAAGTATTCATTGGAAAAGCTCTACTCGTTTCAATTTCAAGTCATAATGGGGCTCGTATTCATGAACAGGTTCTCCGTATGAGAAGAGGCCTTTGCTCAGCAGTGGGTACTTACAGGCTGATGATGATGATGATGAGATAATATGGATCTTAAGTTGTAGCAAATGTATGAATATATATATGAATGATCTGATGTTTTTTTTATGTGAGCCCAAATTATACTGGGTTGGTAACCCTTTTAATTTCGTTTCCAATACGGTTGTTTCCAACTAGTCAAATTCAATACTTTTATCCAAATGTCAAAAACGATACTTTCTATGAAAATTGTATGAAACATTGAATTATGACGTCATAGCATTTTGGCGTCAAATAGCTTTACTTATTTTAAAAAAAATAGCTAAAAATATCTAAAACTTAGTGTATCGATCGATCGATGAATAAAAGTATAGTTATTTTTAAATATTTTATCGTATAAAAACGTCGAATTAATTTATTTTTGACCTAGGAAACTACCCAATTGTTATTTTAAGTTTCTTTTCTTTTCGTTTCTATGAATATTTTAGGGCATCTTGCCGGGTGCCCAGTGAAAGGCTTCTTTCTGGTTAGGTACTTAATGGTAAACAATTAATGGAAAATGAAACGGAGATGTAGCAAGTGTGTTGCCAGCCGTTTGGGAGATGGGGTTTTGGGGATTTAGGGATTGGGGAGGCACGCGGTTTTACGCCGGTTTTTTTTTTGTGAGGTCTTTTATTAGTACCGAAGCTGGCTCTCCCACACTTTAAGGGAATAACTTCACTAGATTACTGACCGACAAAATTATCTTATACTATATTAAGTTTGACGTTAAAAATGCCATATAATGTGTGTAATTGAAATAAATGATTTGACATTTACTCAAGTGGAGCTTTTGTGATTTAATTCCCACATTGAGACGAAGTAAAAAATTTTATATGTATATAAATATATGTATAAGTACTAGCGGCCCACCCTCGCTTCGCACGGGTCCAACTATCTCCCTAACAATGAAAGGGTCCCTTTTCCCCAATCTTCCCCTCTACTTTTCTAATATTTTCTTTGATAAGAACCTTCTCCTGACAATATTAAATACAAAACAAAAGGTTTTGGAAAATTGGTTCAGCCGTTTTTGAGTTATGCGCTTACCAACACATTTTGCGATCCATTTTTATATATAAGTATGTAAGTATATATCTGTGATTGATATGTTTGTCATTCTGTGTACAAGTAGGTATTTGTGTGTGTGTGTGTGTGTCACCGCGCTGATGAGATGTTCAACTTTCACTGAGTAACATCAGTACAGGAACAGGTAGTGCGGGTTCGACGTCCGGCGCGAACAAGAAAGTTGTCGGTTGAGGTCGTCCGACGACGGCACGAGTTGAAAGGTTGGAAGACATTGCGGTTTCTATCAATAACGTGGTCGGCAGAACTAAACTTATTTAGAAGTTATAACTAGACAATAAAGTCGTGGTAGCTTAAGGCGTCCCGCTTCGGCAGTGATACCACGGCGTCATAGAAAACCGGCGTGAAACAACCACAGCGTTGTGTTTCGCCGTGTGAGTGAGGTTAACGGAGGACCAATCCACCACTAAGACCTAAATACCGCAGCACCTTGAGAACGTGTGGCTACCTTTCAGTATTCTGAAAATCTTGGTTTATACTTTTTTGTCGTAGTTAGGTTTTAGTTTTTATACTTTTTATTATTTGTACTATTTTGGTGTTAAAGTGTTTATGGTGCATGATATCAACAAAAGTTAAATTGATGAACCAATGGTAAGGTAGTAGAAGCTATGAATATTAAAAAGATGTGAGTTATAAGTATGCAATCAGCCCATGAATACAGGTAAAGTCACAAGCAAATGCTAGTAATATATATAATATATATTCAAAATGATACCAAACACGGTATAATAGTATCTTAACTTTATTTTTTTTACCTTTAGTGTTTTGTCTGCTAGAGGACGCCGTATTATATTTTGTGATACCCCATATCAAGCGCGGATCCAGCCTTCAAAAAAGTTTGTTGTCACAGCTACTAGAAAAACGGCTAAGTACGAGTCGGAGCATGGACATGCTCATTAACAATCATGCAAATCGTTTATGAACTTATGAATTAGATTTCCTTTTTTCTGAGCATCAGGACTTTAGCCTTAGGGATGTAAATAAACTTAGGAAGGACACGATTTCTTCTAATTTCTAATAGTCTGTTTCGATCCAAACCTATTTCAATTACATGTGTATTATGGTTGTGGGCATGCCCATCGTGCCCACAACGGTGGATCCGCCCTTGCCCCGTATAGCCTATAACCAGCGGACGATTAAGACGTTTCTTATAAAATGTCATTCGTTTTCGAATTCTGATTATTAGTTTTATAGAAGTTACATACATACATAGCCTGTCAAAATCATAACCCTTCTTTTGTTTTGCCGCAGTCGGGTAAAAAGAACAAAATAATGCATAATTAAGTCCACAATAAGAATGGTGACAGAACTACTGCAGTAACAGCGACGTGTAAACAATACTAATGCATGTATCACTGAACTTGACCCGAGCATGCAAACACAGCATTAGTATTTACCCGACAGCGTGGCTACGTGCTATAGGCCCATATGTTGATGCGGTGCTTGACCGCTACCTTGTTATAATAATAATTAATTATAGGTACTGTATATTTCAACTATATTTCCGAAGTTTTAGATAAAAATGTAAACATAAGAGTAATTTAAACAAGAAAATTGTTTTTTTTATGGTATAAGTCGGCAAACGAGCAGACCTGATGGTAAGCAATCGGCGCCGCCCATGAACACCCGCAACATCAAAGGAGTTGTTGTCGAGTGCGTTGCTGGCTTTTTAAGGATAAAGGTTTAGGATATTTAAGTTGAGGACGTGGTATCGCTCCGGTGGAGCCGACCCATTCGTGCCGAAGCATGGCTCTCCCACACTTAAAATTTAGATAAATTTTAATGAAACTAAAACAGAGGTCTATCTATATCTCCCTGCATTGTTCCTTTTATTTCTTTTATAAAAAAAAACCTTGTCCCGTATTAAGATTTTCTTCTTAATCGATAACAAACATACAATTTGACATACATATCAAACTCAGACCCGGAACAACAATTTGTTGATAACACAAAGAGTTGTTCCGTGCGGGTATTGAATCCGCGACAACCAATTGCCCAGCCACCGCGCTTTATATTACAAACAGACGGATACAAGTTTCACAAGAACCTAAAGGCAATGAAACAATGAAACAATGAATTTATTTTTGCAAATGGGCCATAAAACGGCACTTTTACACGTCAATTTATATGTGA